CGGGGCCCTCTCGCATCCCAAGCCAGCCCCCAACCATCGTGCCACTCGGCCGGCCCAATAACATAACTTTTAATCACACAGTATAGAATTATGACGAGACCCACTCCGTCAACCGGGGTTCCATGAGTGGACTGGGTGGGACATTAGAAAAAAAAGACACAGAGATGAAAGCTGGGATCGGGAGGTTCATTGACTGCTGATGGCAGAGCCATGGCCCAGTTTATTTTTTACACCAAGCTTATATAGAGGGAGCAATTCCTCTTTGCAAGGAAGTGTGTGGAAGCAATTTCCCCTAAGCAAGGTTAAGTTTAGCAAGTGGAAACTGTCAACAGGGTTGCATTCTGTTACGCAAGTCTCAGGAGCTTCTGTGGCTTTGGCTGTTCCTATTTCTTCAAAAGGCTCAGTAGGGGTGGAATGTTCCCGAGCTGCTCACCCAGGCATGAAGGCTTGCAGCTTGCCAGCTTGCAGTCTTGTGGTCCCTGACTGCACACAGTTTGCTCCCCACACCTCCCCCTTTCTTATTTATTAGAAGCCTTTAATTTGATTAGGCTGTGGCTGGTCCCCTCAACTGTGCCTGTCTCAGGTTGTTCCTCCTCGAGGAATCTTACCTGTTATTGACTAACCAGCCATCTTTTGGGGCCAAGCCGGGGGGTGCCCAGGGAGCATGAGCAGTGTTTTTGAGGGCCAAAGTGGGAATGTTAGCATAAGGGTGAGCAGCGTGGAACAATCATGGTAAGACAAGCGGTTGTCGGAGATTTCACTGCTTTTTAACGTCTCCCCCCCTTCCATTCATCTGTAGCTGTAAGTGATGGGTCCCTACTCTGAGGGACCAGAGACAGGTTCGGATGATTCTTCCACAGACTGGAGAGAAGCATAAGATTAGTAGCAAGAGAAGTATAATTCCAAGCAGGTACCAGAACGTGTGTTGGAGAAAGTTGAATGGGTTAAAACCCTTGAGTTTGACAGCACCTCCTGTGCCGGAACTTTTGGATTAATAAGCTTCAGTTGGCTGTCCATTGACATTAAATTGGGATCGACACTCATTCGCCCAATGTTTTCCACGCCGGCATCTGGGGCAGATCCCAGGGGTCCGGCCAGGCAGGTTCACTTATCCCTCCGCCTTAGGCCTTCCCTGGGGAGCTCTAGAAAGGCACTCCCTGGTGAAACGGCCTATCTGTCCGCAAGAGGAACAACTTCCTTCTTTGCAGCTTCGATCTCTCTTTTGTTGGAGCCTTGCCTGGGGAGGGTGGCAGGTTTAAGGCCTTTTGCAGCCAAGGTGAATGGGGCGGTCGGGCTACACTGGGTGACTGCCGCCTTTAACTCCTTGAGCATCTTAAAAGGGATAGGGGTATGTATGCTCTCGAACTACCTGTCCCCGAACGTTGCGTTCAATCCCAGGGAAGCAAAACTGTTGAAAACCTCCGACATCCTCACCCCGCTCCATGGCCTGTCGGGTCCCCCAGAATAGGGGGGAGTCCTGGAGCCTGCCACTAGGGCAGGCTGTTTCCGAGAGCGGCCGCCGGGGAGGCGGCTGGCGCGTCTTGGGAGGAAGCTCCTCGCGTGGGGCGGAGGGCTTTCGCTTGGGCTGGTGACTAGCCCAGGCAGTGAGAACTGGGGCCGTACCTGCAGGGGGTCCAGGACCGCCCTCATCATCCGTAATCAAAAGAATCCTCTCGATCTGGGTTATAGCGCTGTTCTTCCCTTGCCAGCTCCTGAGAGTACTCGGGTGTCTCCAACTAGCCCCCATAAGGAAAATGTCTCTACAGGAACACTCTCCTGCCCGTCGGCCGTGAACCGTTCACGTAGCTGTTCTCCGACTCTTTGCCATGGGTCGGAATTGGTGATGCCCTCCTCAGGGAACCAAGGACAGGTGTCCTGTACATATGCAAGAAATTTTTCTAGCTGATGCGCTCTAACGTGGCTGCCGGGATCACGAAGCATAGCCTTAAGCATTTGCGTAAAGAGCTGGCGGTCCTTTGACCCTGATTGTCCCATGTTTGACTCCCGACTATATTCCGTTTTTTTCTTTATGAATTATGCGAAACGGCCGATTCCGCCCCTCTTTTTTATTTATTATGTTTCCCTTTTTCTCCCTTACCTTCTCTATAGCGGTGCATCTCGTCAAGAAGGGAGTCTCCTCACTTTCACTTTTCTGTCAATCCGTACTCAGGTCCCTATTCCAGCGCCACTTGATGAGACCCGCTCATCAACCGGGGTTGCATGAATGGATTGGGTGGGAGATTAGAAAAGAAAGACACAGAGACGAAAGCTGGGATCGGGAGGTCCACTGACCACTGATGGCAGAGCCATGGCCCAATTTATTTTTTACACCAAGCTTATACAGAGGGAGCAATTCCCTCTTTGCAAGGAAGTGTGGGGAAGCAATTTCCCCTAAGCAAGGTTAAGTTTAGCAAGTGGAAACTGTCAACAGGGTTGCATTCTGTTGCGCAAGTCTCAGGAGCTTCTGTGGCTTTAGCTGTTCCTCTTTCTTCAAACGGCTCAGTGGGGGTGGAACGTTTCCGAAGCTGCTCACCCAGGCATGAAGGCTTGCAGCTTGCCAGCTTGCAGCCTTGTGGTCCCTGACTACTCACAGTTTGCTCCCCACAGAATTATTAATGTTTCATTAGCATAATTAGCTGCAATTTCTATTACGAACTTTAGACTTGAACTATATAAACATCTATATACTCTTAAAATAAAATATTAAATTAAATTTGGTACTGAATAATTTTTTTCCTACATGTAATCTTTTGCACATGACTTCATTATTTCTACAAAGTGCTGCAACTTCCCAAAATATCAGTCATGTTCATATTCAAATATTATCAATAGATACAAATGCATTCTAAACTCACAATAAGTAATGCTTTTCAGTTTATCTGAGCACTGTTCACTCTATATACTTCATTATAAAGATAAATATAAATTTATGCAATATTTCACATTTAGGAATATTAAAAATAAACTATTGCTTTTAGGGTATTAATAAAAAGGTTATCATGTCATAATCTAAAAGAAATTAATTGCATTAAAATTTTTCAGAGTTATAAGTATTATAAATTCCTGTTGGATGAAGATAAAGATACATTGTTAAACAAGGTACCCTCAGTCCTTCCTTTAAAGAACTTAAAGATTAAAGAGGAACTCAGAAAAGTAAACACATAATGAAAATCTTAATAAAGTGCTATAGTTAGGGTTCTGTGAGAACTTATAGGAGGGACACTCAAATGCCTGCTGACGAATACTCACATCAACTTTAATCTGTATATTGAGTAGATTTCTCACTTCTAACATACTACTACTTGATGAAATATTATAGTGTGAGGTAAAGTTAAGATTTTACATACTATTTTATTCCTAGAGGGTAAGCAGGGACACAGAAAAGAATAAAACGGGGTGGCTGGTTGGCTCAGGTGGTTAGAGCGCAGGCTCATAACACCAAGGTTGCCGGTTTCCCACATGGGCCAAGGAGCTGCGCTCACCACAACTAAATTGAAGACAACTACTTGACTTGGAGCTGATGGGTCCTGGAAAAACACACTGTTCCCCAATAAAATGTCTTTTAAAAAAAGAATAAAAACACTGCATTTAGCTACTTATCTTTCTTTGATTTGGTACAATTAAAATACTTAGTATTTATCGAGTCATTTTATTGTTTGCCAGACAATGTGATGAGGCTATTCCCTCCCTCGCTTAATCCTCTCAACCCTATTAAATTACTATTTAAGCCTATTAAAGTATATTATTATGCTCATCTTTTAGATGTAGAAACTGTGGCTTACACTGGTCAAAGAACTCGCCTCAAATCATAAAGCCAGAAGCTAAGCTTTTAATAACTGTGAACTATAGGGAAAAACTATAAAGCAGGTGTGGGAGGGGGGGCAAGTGAGATTGGGGGGTCTGGTGGAGCGTAGGTAGGGGCAGAGCCAAGTTCAGTTATCTACCCTTAGGTTATTTGTTCCCTCAGATCAGTGAAGAAGCTGGCGCTGTAAAACATGACTGTACATATAAGTCTCTCACAAATATTTCTAGCACCAGAAAATTCATATAAAATGAAGAAGCGCTACTATGAATATCCAAGAGTGTCCCCACATAGTGAAAGCAAATTACATAATTATGTATCTAATGATTTAACATCATGAGATTCATTACAGATGATCACACAAGACACTAATGTGTTTGCTGTTATATCTCTAAGCTGAACTCATGTTAAACAGGGTTTGTAGGTGATTATTTTTATGATGGTATCAAATTCCACAAAATATTCTTCTACTGTAAAACCTACATCTTCAATTTATGGCTTCCTATTATAAATTTTTATCTAGGGATCACTGATGTACCTTGACTTCATTATACTAGACAATCTTTATTGTTAGTACTTCAGTCCTAGTGAAAGAGCTAAGCCTTAAACTGAGACAAATATCTGTTAAGTTGAATTGTGTTTTATGCTGAAATCAATGAATTACATAAAAGGCGCTTACCAGAGTGGAATGAAGATCAGAATTCCATGTTTGAAGGAAATGCTAAAACTATAATTCAGATTTTTTAAAAAGTATAATCCAAAAAAAATCCAGACATATTTCCTAAATATTAATTTTAACTCTTTAGTTCTTATAGTGCTCTTTAACTGAATATGATTTAATTTGATATAAATGATAAAAATCTCATTCTTGGACTTGGTGGGGAAAACATGTTCTCATTTTTTTACAAGCTTTATTAAACTAAAATTAAACTGACTAAACTAACTAAAATTAACTGCTAATATTTTCTAGAGATACAAGGAAGCCAATTTATAAGAATATAACTTTGCTTAAATTTAGCACCATTTATACACATTAAAAAAAAACCTGATGCTATAGTTATTAAAAATGGTTTATTCTCCACAATTTCATCTTCATTTCTTTATATAGTGCAAAAACTTATGCCTCAAAAAAAGTAAAAGATTACAAATGTGTACCCATGCATAATAAAGAAGTTTCACGATATATGACGTTTTCTTTTTAAACTTCAAAGGTAGAGAAAACCCTGTACCTGGTTAAGTAATTGAAGTAAACATAAGAGAGCGTCACCAGCACATTTTTACAAAGGCCCAATACCGGTGTGATAGTTCCCAGGGCAATGATTAAACTAAGTCTCACACAAATAAATGGTAAATCCTGGAGCAGGATGCCCAAGGAATTCAGAAGAGGATTCTTGGGAGTGAATATAATTCGGAGGAGAGAAATAAAACTGAATATGTAGACTGGGTAGACCCAGCCCGACTTGTACACTTTTGGGTGGCCAGCCACACGCACCATTTCCACGGTGTCAGACCACAGCAGAAAGCTCCACAGGAAGATCTCTGCACGAACGTCCTGCTGGGACATCATTCTCAGGATTCCCGAATGGAAGGAGGGTTCCTGGGATCCTGCCAGTTCCGGAGCAGGGCTCTGTGTCATGGCTACTGGCGGCCGTGATGCCCCTGTCCTGTTGGCGGACTGAGAAGTAGCAGCGTTTCCTTCATTTTCCCTCCCTTGATCCATCACAGTTATTTGCTGCAAAGTGGTAGTATGGATGTAACTATCTTCATTACCTGTAACACATTGACTTGATTACATTTAATTTTTAAACTCTTATTTAAATTGAAACAAAATGTTTAATGTCTATATTTTAAGAATTTCATTGAAATTTACAATCAAAAAATAAAATTGTAAGTGTTCTCTTATTTTAGGTCTGTTTTACACATGGAATGTCAAGATAATGATGGGTAGCATACTGGAAACAAACAAACAAAAAACAGAGGCAGAGAAGGTTCTTCATGTCTTTGTATTTTTGATCCTAAATCATTTTTACCATTTCATAGTAATAGCCATTATTGGTTACTGAGCTAAGCACTTTTACACATTATCTCATTTAATCCTCAGAAAAAGTTGAGAAATAGAGATTACTAGCCCATTTTATAAACATGGAAACTGGTGCCCAAGAGGCAAAGTGACACCCAAATTCAAAGACAGTACTGGGAAGAGCTTGAATTCACCCCCAGACTTGTTTGGCCCCAATACAATCTCTTAACTTTATGGCTACTATTATTCATCTAGAGGCAATATGTCATGTGCTAATTTTAAAACATGCAAATATCATAAAGTCAAATGAATGTAGTCCAACAGTCAAAGCAAAGTACAACGGTCCAATCTTATCACTTTTACCAGAGGCCTACAGGAATCACTACAATCCAGATCCCCAGGCTTGGAGTTTGGTGCTAAGAGAGAATGTATTTATCCAGGAGGAAGTCTTAGTGATGGGTGGCACTCTGAATCCAAATTCTGAAGCTCTTCTTCCCTCCCAAAGTTGTTGAACTGGTCAGTGCAATTGGTTAGACTAAGGCAAGGTATCTGTGGTCACATGGCTATGCGTGGTTCAACCCACCAGTCATCTGAATGAGTAGAGCATCTTTTCATCAACATCACATTGTGTGTGTGAGAGAGACAGAAAGAGAGAGAGAGAGAGAGAGAGAGAGAGAGAGAGAGAGAGAGAGAGAGAGAGAGAGGGAGGGAGTGTGTGTGTTTGTATACACATGGATGTTGAGGTAGGAGAATTATGAGGAAATCTGCAAACCTCACAACTTACTAACAATGTTGATGGTATGGCTTTTATACATGAAAAAGGTACAGCACGTTATTTTTCAAGCATTTATCCACTTAAGCACCATTTTTATTGTTAAGAATTTATCAGGACTTGACAAAGTCTACTCAGTGAACATGCTGACCTGTCTTATTACTTGATAAGACAAAATTTAAAGGGAGTCATTAGATTGAACAACTGGAAAAGTTAAACACAAAAAGCAATAAAAATGTGTCGAGCTATATTGAGCTGAAGTAAAAACATTTAAAAATAAATAAGTTGTTATGATTAATGACTGTTTGATTACTGTAAATAGATGTTTAAATGGCAAATCTCAGTTTTACTTTTATACAATTAAACTTATACTTTAAAATTTTAAAGTGAGTTGAGTATATTAATAAACTAAAAAGATAATCTAAATTCTCGATGAAATATTACTTATTTCTGATATGAATCATTCATAAGCAAATGGTAAGACCCGTGACCCTTGGAAACGTCTTTAACAACCTTTAATGTCACAGTGCCATGAATGCGTATCATTTTAATAAATAATACTCAAGTAATAGAGAAAATTATATACTAAGTATTATTATTTTAAGATGAATAAAATCATCTCTTTTAAACTCAGATGCTCACCGGCATTAATTATATTTCCTATTTTGCAAAAAAAAAAAATCAATATAAAAATGTGTTTCTTGGGCCGGCCGAGTGGCGCATTGGTTAAGAGCTGGCTTGGGATGCCAGAGGGCCCCGGTTCGGATCCCACATATGAGGGCCAGTGACACTGCCCTCTGCAGCTAAAATGCTGAACAACAGCTCAACCTGGAGCTGGGCTGCCGTGAGTCGCCGGCCACGGCAGGTGGGTTGCCATGATCTATGGTGTGTAGCCAGCAGCCAGCGTGAGCGGCCAGCAGCCGTCATGAGCGGCCGTCCAGAAGCCGGCGACTGAACTGCCTCGCCCGGGAAGAGCGCAATGATGGTGCCAACTTGGGCCAGTGAAGCAACATCCTCCACAACTAGACTGAAGAACAAAAGGACAGCAACTTGTCTGTTCCCCTTCCCCCAATTCCCCAATAAAAATCTTAAAAAAAAAAAAAGTGTTTCTTAGAGTATGTCATGTCCTAGAGAACTCTCCATCACCTCTCTTAGTGGATAAAGCTATTAGAATGAAAATCCAAATTCCTTTTTCATCATGAAGAACACAGCGCATAATTCAGGCTTTTGAAGATGATTGCCCATTCAGCACTGTTTCAATGCCAGGAAGTGGCAAGCTAAGAAGTGGCACATGAACACTTTTAAACAGTCAGTAAGAATCTTAACATCTGTAGATAAGAGCTGAGGGATGTACAATGAATTCTTAGCTACAGTTCGTTTTTAATGAAATGTTAAGGCCCCAATCCATGTGTATTTGATGAAATCAGTGCTCACATCTTCATATCTCTCCACAGCTCAATAGAAACTAGTTTAGGTTTTGGGGTCCAGGGACTCTATTATCCTTTTCTCAAGTGAGAAACACTGGAACTATCAGCTGGAAAGCTCTGCAGGCCTCTCAGAGGGCAAGGTGAAGTGGAAGAAGTCAAGAAATTGTAAAAACAAACAAAACAAACAAACAAACAAAAAAGACCTCACACACAGAGATAACAGTACGGTGGTTACCAGAAGGGGGGAAAGGGAAGGGGGAAGTTGAAGAGGGTAAAAGGGGTCAAATATATGGCGATGGAAGGAGAACTGACTCTGGGTGAACTGACTGTGGTGAACACGCTATATATAGATGACGTATTATAGAATTGTACACTCGGGATTTATACAATCTTATTAACCCACGTCACCCAATAAATTTAATTTTTAGGGAAAAAAAAGCAAGAGAGAAATTGTTTAGTCATTAGAATGGACCAGCAAATTTATCCCCGGGCAATGGAACTTTTCGTGTACTTAATACTATTCCCTTTGGCTCCATGATTAGCTTCCCTCTAAATTATTTTTAAAATGTCCACTTACAGCTGGAATTCTTTTTGTTATTGTTGTTAGCTGTTAGTGTCCTATTTGGGTAAAACAATGTTTATGTGTGTTTAAAAGACATAAGCATGAAGAAAGAGATTTAGTCACTTCCTTGGCGGTTCTCATTGCCCTATAAAAAGTAAAAATAGCAGTTGTTCTGTGTCGTTCCCCACATCTGATGCCCGTTGCCAAAACAAATTTTTATCTTCACAGTGCAAGCTAAATAATGAAGGAAATGTAATTTTGATAAGTGTCTCAGTAGGTAACGCATACCTATTTTACTTGTTTTTTATATTAATGTATTTTTATCTCTAACTTGTTCCCCAGAAGTTTTAGATAGCTTCCAGGGAAACCGTAACTACAACATAATAAATCAGTGGTGAGGAATTTTCTAGAGTGAGCATGTGTTCCTCCTGCAAAAAGGAAAAGCAACAAAAGTTATTTAAATAAAAAGAGAGAAAAAAATAATCACAAAGAAGGACAACTGAACACAAGACAGGAATGAAGATGATACTAAAAATGTCCTATTTAGGCTCCCAACTGATATGAACAGACAGCTTTTAGAGTGTGGCGCCCAGCTTAGGCTGGGCATTGAGAATGATATAGCAAACAATGTGGAAACAGTCTCTGCTTTCACCACTCTCTCCTGCGATCACATTGATAAATTTAGAAGGACAGATGTGGCAGGGCTTTAAAAGGAAGGTAAATTCTGTGATGAGAGATTCTAACAGGGGCTCTGAATTAGATGGGGGGGGGGGTGTCAGGAAGGCTTGTCTGAGAAGTGACAGTTAAGCAGCGACATGAAGAGTAAGTAGGAATGAATTAGGTCATGGTCACACAGCTAGCAAGGAGACCAGAACATGAGCCTCAAACCCTTAACCACTAGACACACTGTCTGTGGCACAGCCAGGGCTATGTAAAACCTTATGGGCCACGATACAGGTTTTGGACTTTATTCTGAGATCCATGAAAAGCTGCTGAAGATGAGGAGAATGTAAGGCACAGGAGCCAGAGGTCATGGAGACATCAGCAAAGAGGCTCTTGAGGCCAATGAGAAATGAAATGGTGACTCAATTCACAGCCACTAGAAGATCAAATTATACTATTATTCAGAAAAAGTCTGGTTAGTCTTAGTTAACAGTCCCTAAAATCAATTTTCCCAGAGAGAAAAATATTCCAGGGAAAGTGAAATGCTAATTACTTAGACATAACAGACTAAAAAAAAAAATCTGGGAAAGAAGAAAATTAACAGTCTTAATAAATTTTTTCAAAAAGCATATTAAGCACACTAAGCACTTTTAATCATAGTACTCAGAGAATAAGAGGAAAAGGTAATATATTAAAATAGATACCAGGGCAAATTGTAAACATTGTTATTCTGACACTATCCATTGATTAAAATCACTGTACTATGTATAGTTTGTTTCCTTTGATGAGCATATCTGAGGTCTGGAAGGCAAGCAATATCACTCCCAAGTAATAAATGCAGAACCCAGCCCCTTCTTCACAGGATGGTTATGATGAAGGATGCAGTCAATATTTATAAAGCATTTAAAATAGTGCCCGACACATAGAAACAGCCATATGTAAGTTAAATAAAAAGTAGAAATCACTAAACCATTTACTGTTTCAAACGAATTTGCATAGAATAGAAAATATCAGAATGCAGTAACTAGTAAGGGTGATTAGCTTGCTAAACTTGGGTTATAGTTACTCTGTTACCCAGTATCCCATACATCCAGGAAGGTCAAAAAGTTTGAGAAATAGTGTCACACTACAGAGCCTTACTAAGTTCATGAGTTCACTTCTCATATTTGCCTGTTCCCATCACAAAGAAAAATGCCTCCTTGCAGATATGCCCTGTATGCAGAGACAGCTTGCTAACAAGAGCCTACCATATGCATCTCTTCCCAATTCCATGCATTTAGTGACATCACCTTGGTAGCTTGAAACTGGCACTCATAGCAGAAAAAA